AAAAGTTATGAAACAATTGAAATCTTGTGTTAGTCGGCTCATCAAATCCACTTTACAAGTAGGGACACCAAACACATTTTTTTAAAGAAAACATATGAATTTAAGGGTAAAGTTCCTATGGAATAATCGGAGCCTTGTCTCCATTTGGCATAAGAACTGGTGGTAAAATAAAAAAAATTACTGTCTACTAGTGAAGTTGGTGGTGAAGTGAGATGATCTGAGGCACCACTATCAACAATAACTGACTTTCTAGACAAATCTGAAGATCCTTCGATGATGTTCACCTTCGAATTAGAAGCAGAACAGTACTCTCCAATGGATGGTGCTTATTTATTGTGTACAATGGATAAAATTTGCTGTAATTGGAATTCAGACAATCCATTTATTACACTTTGAATATCAGGAATGCCCGAACCATCTTTAACATTGTGAATAGAAGATGAAACTTTTCCTTTGATTTTTCCAAGAATGGGATAGGGTTATAGGATGGTCTGGATATGCTGAGTTTGGTTATTTAGTTAGAAGAGAAGATTAAGGTTTTGGATTAAGTTATGTGTGTGTGTATGTATGTATCTATATGTTTGTGTGTATATATAGATACAAATTTTTCTAGAACAAAATCCTCTAAAATTAAAAGTAATTCTACAAGTAAGTCAAAACCTCAAACTTCTTCCTAAAGCCTCTTTTGATGCTTGTTTCAAATGTGAAAAACCGGGACATATAGCTAGATATTGTAAAGTAAGAGAGAAATTTTCTAATCTTGATGTAGATGATCAAATTAAAAATAAAAAACTCAACTTAATTAATTATATTTCAGAATCTGAATCTAAACAAGACAAAATATATCAAATACAAGAAAATTCAGAGAATTTAGAAGCAAGTTATGAATCTCCAGCAAATAGTTGTGAATGTATAGGAGCATGTGATTGTGGATATTCAAGTTTAAATGTAATTATTAGCCAAGAAAAACAATTCTTTTTAGAACTAATAGATAAAATTAATGAGAATGATGTTAAGAGAGAATATTTGATAAAATTAAAGGATATAGCAATTCAGGATGAACAATTGAAGAATATAGAACCTTTTAATATAAAAGAAGTATTTTATAGATTTAAAAAATCACAAATTAATGTAAATACACAAGATTTACACATAGAAGTAAATAAGTTAAAAGAAGAATTGCAAGCTGTGGTGGCAGTTACGCCAGAATAGATCACAGTGGGCGGAGTTTATGCAAGAAGTACATTAGGGATGGACATCCATCCCAGGTGCAAGTGAGTAGGCCCACAGGGATCTGGCGTCGGCTAGAGTAGATTCGACTTGTTATGGAGTCGGGGATTCGGTGGTGCTTGGGTAGAGGGTTTGTGGACTTTCGGTATGACAAGTGGTTACTAGACGTGCCCTTGGCTGAGAAACTAGGTAGGGTTGATCCACCTCACATGCTAGTAGCCGAGTTCTTTGGAGAGGGTGTGAGAACCCGTAATTTTTCCAATTTCTAGGTTTTATTATATTTCTAGGTTTTCTTATTTTCAATGATTTGTTTTCTGCACTTTCTGTATCCGGAAAATTTTTCTAGATAAATTTTATGAGTAAATATAATTTTTAGATGATTTTTCTAGGATTGAATAGGTTTTGAGAAATTAAGAGTGAATACCGGACGTGGGACCCACTAGTGCGAAAAGTTCGGCAATTTTCGGCCAACTAGGTTAAGTTTTGGATACTGGATTTAATTTACCAGGCGTTAAGGGATAAGTAGAGGATGTTATTTGGATTGGTGTGAGAGGGAACAAAGAGATAGAGATTCATTAATTAGGTGACAAGTGTCACCATTTGGTTGGATTGACTTGTATGACCACTATTCATGTCTTTACCAAATTAATATCAAAATTGACCAAAAATTTCCTTATTTTCTTCTCTTCTTGGCCGATTCTCTTCAAGCAACAAAAGGGAAAGAAAAACTCTCCAAACTCTTGCTTCAATCTTGCTCAAATTCAACCAATCAACCGTTTAATCTTGTTTTTGTTCCAAAGAAACCCTTAAGGGAGTGATAGTGAGTTGTTTTGTGAAGTAATTTGGAAGATTTAAGTGCAAGGTTGCTCCATTCCTTTGGGTATCAAGGTGAGTAGTGAAGAAACTCCTTTTCTCTTTCCAATAATGCTTAATGAGCAACCTAAGTGAGTTAAAGTGATGATCTTTGGTGTTATTTCATGATTTTGGTTGAGATTGATGACACTTTCTATTTAATTAGGATTTTTCTGTTTTCATATGATTATTATTATGTGGTTATGTATGATGATTGGAAATGGTATATAATGATTCTAGAAGGTGGAAAAAGTGGAAGATTGCAAGTAATTTCTGTTTTGGAAGAAATCTGGAAAATTAGGGTTCCTTGGTTCTTCATTCTGTCCGAAATTTTAGGTCATATATAGAGGCCGAATTGGCCTTATCTCAAAACATGAAAGTTGTAGGGAATGATATTTTATAGGTGCCTACAAAATTTCAGGTCAATCGGAGTAGTGTAGAATGAGATAAGTCGAATTTACTATTGCTGTTCTGGTTTTACCCGAAATTGGGATTTGCTTCTGTAATTGGTTGTTTTGGTCTGGATTTCTTCCGAATAAGTTGTTGAGGCCTTCTGATGAAATTTAGCCCTGTTTCTTAGCTTTCAACTGGTTTTGGAATTTCTGGATTTGGACTTGTAGAGCCTGAGTTATGATGTTTCCACTAGAATGCATTTTGGTGAATCTGTTTTACGTTTTTGATGTGGTATCTTGCATTTTTGACCTGTTTGCACTCAAAACTGGGTTGAGTGACCTTCTGTGATGTTGTAGCCCTGTCTTTTAGCTTCGAAATGGTGGGTATTACACCTTCATCTGATAATTCTAGGGCATTTGGTGCCATTACCGCAAAAAGAGGTCAAAAACTGTTTTTTAAGGCCAAAGCTAATTGCATTTCCGAATGTTCTGGTTTTCTCTAATGTTTGTGTATGTTTATGGAACCCTATTGGGGTCATATTTGGCATTGATTTATGATTCGTTATCGAGTCTCATTGTACTTGTTTACATGTTTTAAGGCTTACTCTTATTCCGGTCATTTCCTAGCTAACTTTTGTACTTGTACTACTTTGAGCCTAGTGAACGGCTTTTGGGAATGAGATGAATTTTGTGTGAGATGTTGGGACTGATTTGAGGAAATAATGAAGCCATGATGGCTGAAAAATAGGTAAAAACAAGGGATATGCTGCCGAAATTTTACTTGAAGGCTAGTTGGATTTACTTGTGATTTGAGCAAAGGGCTTTTGGGTTGTTTGTGCCTAGGTCTTCATGTTACCTTTTCGTTTCCAAGAAAATCATGTTTTCCACCCTTGCATTAGTATTTATTTGGCAAGGCGTACGACGTGTAGTCGAGCCTCACTTGTGCATTCCGTTTACTCGATTTTGGATATGAAACCTTCAATTAGTTTACTTTCATTATTTTAGGGTTTATTGGCGATTAAGGCCAATCTGAAGTGAAAACTTTTGAAGTTGAGCCGGTGAGTGTACCACTCCCCTCCATTGTTGTTTAACTTGATTTCTGCTCTGCAATCTATTTAATTTGTTTGAGACGAGGGTGTACTTTATCACACTCGTTCTCTTGTCTGTTCATATGTCAATTTTGGTGTCAATCTAAATTTGTATCTGTATCTGTATCTGTTCGGACGTCGTTTGGAAACTTGTAACCAACGACCTTTCTGTGACCTATGAGCTCAAATCCTGTGGCTAACTTATTCGAGTCGGGCCGACAAGGACCTGTACGATTAGATAACGAACCACAGTAGTCTGTTTTGGGATCTCTGGGTATTGAGACCCTTGATTCCGGTATACTCGAGTATTACCATTTCTGTTTCTGTTGAGGTGAGCGGGCCCGGTAAAGGGGTGTTTGGTGGACGGAATTCAGTGTAAAGAGGGGTCTACAAACGCGTTGGTTCTATATACGTTGACGGAGAGTCAACTGGTTTGGATCAAGTACTGCGCTGGAAATTTGGCTCCTGAGAGCCACCCGTATCCTTCTGATTTGAATCATTGGTTCCTTTGCTTTACATCTAGCATGTGTACTTGATTTGCTAAACGTGAAATGCCATGATTTTATTGCTATCTGTTTGGTACCTCATTGAGCGCAAGCTCACCCCTTTCTGTTCCCTTTTGTTTTCCTTACAGGAAAATAAACACTTTTGGACTGGATTTGACAAAAGGCTGTCAAATTGAGCTAGCTGAACATATCATTTGTACAGCTCATGTATTAAAATCCTAAATGTACTTTTGGGGACTGTTTCCTTTTGATTTGGCAAACTAGACATGTATCCACTTTTGAATACTTTTGTATGCCACTTTGGGCTTGTAAATGCTAAGTTTCAAGATGTGAATGTTTGCTTGATTTTTGGTTGGGTTCTGACGGGTCGGTTACTATTCATGACCGACTCCGGATTTCATTTTATTTTATTTTGGGTTATTTTACTATTTTGATTTGTTTACGCGCGTTTGTAAGTTCCGGAATGAAACAGATAGCTCTAATCTGTTCCGTTAGTCCTGGCGAGAGCTGGGCAGGCGGTCCGCCGAACCCTTTGGTTCGCCTTAGGGTAAGGTGGGGCTGTCACAGAGGGGGGTTGGAATACTGGGCTACTAAAGGCTTGGTTACCAATGGGTTTGGTTCGCCAGGTGCAGGAGGTTATCCTGTATCCAGATCAGGAGGATATGATGGTGTGGTTGGGGTCTGCTTCGGGCATCTTTTCAATTAAGGATGGGTGGGAGGTCCTGCAACAAAGAAGAAATCTATCCCTGGTTGATAGGTTCTTATGGAATAATATCCTCCCGATCCGAATCTCCTTCTTTGTTTGGAAAGTGCTATGGAATCTGGTCCCGGTGGATGTAAATTTATAGAGGCGGAGCATCATACTGGCATCTCGGTGTAGCTGTTGCTCTTCACATGAAGAATGCTCGAGCCATCTTTTTCTAGACGAGACAATGGCGGCGCAGGTTTGGAGCTTCTTTCGAAGACGATTTGGTATACTTCACCTCAACTCGCAATCAATCTCGGTGGAATGCTTATCTTGGTTTCCATCTACTTCATCAGTCTCAGCAAATCATATACGGGCTGTTATCCCATGTTTGATTTTATGGAGCCTATGGCAAGCAAGGAATAAGTCACGGTTTGAGGGAGCTCGGCTGGAGCCGCAGGGGGTAATTTGGGCGGTGGGAAGTGTGGTGGAGCGGTTAGGAAGGGCAAAAATGTTTTCCTCAGCGCATTTCAAGGGCGTTGCTACTTGGCGACCGCGGGCAACAAGGCGGTTGGTGATATCCTGGAAGCTGCCACCGCACGGGGCGGTCAAGTTGAATACCGACGCCAGTGTTACAAGAGGGAAAGTATCGGGTGGAGGCCTGCTACGGGACCATGAGAGTAGATTGATCTTTGCATTTTACAAGGAGTTCGGGGAGGTCGATGTGCAGACTGCCGAAAGTTTGGAACTGCTGCAGGGTTCACTCTACTGCAAAAGAGTTCGGGTCCAGCTGTTACTAGTGGAGGTGGATTTAGCAGGATTAGTTCGGTTGCTGGAATCAGGAGGTCTGGCAAAATGGCCTCTATGTAATGCACTTCGGCAGATTCGGAGCATGCTTCGGAGCTTCAATACTACAGCTACTCATATCTTCAGAAAAGCGAATGCTGCATCGGATAAGTTAGCAACAATGGACACTCAGGGAGACTTCTTTAGCACGACACTCCAGCAACTCCCGAAGGATGTTAGGGCAACTATATTTTTAGATAGCAGGGGAATCCCTTTTGTTCGAACACAAGTTGTGAGAGAGTAATGTAGACACCAAATTTTTTTAATTAATTTTAGCTTTATTTGTTCACTTTTTAGGTTTTTTAGTTTATTTTATTTTATTTATTTTATTTATTTTGTTTTTGGTACTAATTTTCAGAAAAATAAAAGAAGAAAAAGGAAAAAAAGTAAAAAAAATGACAAATGGAGGGGGCTTGCATGGGGACAAATGTCCCTTTGGTTTTTTAACAACACATCACCTAGGTGGCAAGATGTTTAGACACTTGTAGGATAGGAATTTTGAAAAGAAAAAACAGAAAAAGAAAAAGGATGAGATGGCCGACTAAAAGGAAAAAGGGAGGAGGTTTCTAAAAAAGGCTTGGGTGGAGAGGAAAAAGAAACAGAGGGAGAAAAACAGAGAGGGGCTAGGTTTTGGGCATAAAAAGCTTCGGCGAACTGGGAAAGAAAAGAAAAAAAAGAAGAAGAAGAGCGCGAGGGATAAAAAGGTAAAGCAGAGAAAAAAGAGGAACCAGGTGGCGGGTTGAGCAAAAAATGGAGGAAACAAGCAACGAAAAAACACACAAAAGGGAAATGGGGGCTTCAGCTTCAATGATTCGATAAAAATTTTTTCCAATAAAAGCCTTTTCTGCCAACGCCTCCACCACAGCCCTTCCCCTTTACCGCCGTCTCTGTCCGCGCCAAGCCCCAAGAACTTATCCTCAGCAACCTTTCTGTTCTCGGTAAAAAGGACAAGAACAGCTACGACGTCGAGACTCTCATCGACTTCTTCTCCACCTGCTCCTCCTCCGTGGATGGCTTGAGCAGCAACAGCAGTGGAGAATTCCAACTCACCGAGCCGTCACCACCCTATCGGATATCAATTGCCGCCTGCGAATTTCACCAAGAAAGCCTTGTAAGTCATTTTCCCTCTTTGAACTTCAGTTTCCATTCAAGCACAAATGTCTGAGCTCCGAAAGCATATTTTCTGTGTCTCTGTTAGTGCAATTTTCTTGTTGATTGTTTATGGTTTTAGAATATACATGCTCTAGGTGTCGATTGGACTGATTTATCTCGTGTTTATAACAAATTTTGGGCTAGTCATAACCTCAATTGAGCACAATATGCTGAAGTTTTTCACGCCCATTTAGTGTTTGATAAAATGCCCAAACGGAAATCTTGAACCAAAAGAGGAGATTTTATGTTTTTTTTTTAGTTTGAGAGAGACTCTGGCCAGTCCAAAGCTGGCCAGAATACCGTGCGTTTGCTAGTCGAGGAGAGGAAGAGAAACCATGAACCTTTGAAATTGATTTCAATCCATTTCGCTGTTTTTGCATTCTACAATGGTGTGATGCATCTTGCTGGGTAAAATTGCCGAAATGTTGGAGCATCAGGGGTTGCAGAAGCTTTCCTCTGAGTCACGCTGAAGAAGAAAGCTTCAGCGAACCATTTGTTTGCAAATATTTGGAAATTCACGAATTGGCCCCTAAACCATAAGTAATTTCATAACGGCCCGAATAATTTGATTTTTCTTTCAATTGGGTCCTGAATTAATTTCAAATTGACCCCTGGGCTTAGTTCTCTTCATGTTTTGTACATATTGACCTTTGTTCCTTGGCTTTTGCCTAATTTCTGATAGGACTTGAAAGTTGGAAAAGTTGAACTTATTTTGCCCTTTTAGACTTTAATTATCCTTTCATTTTTTTTAAGTAGTCTTTTGGGTGGATTATTTCTTGATCTTAGGTCATAATTGTGGTTTAATAATTTTAGTTGATTTTATCATGTTGGGTTTTAGTGAAACAAGTGATTTGGGTTGAGAGATTATTTTGCCTGGGTTTAAGGGAGTGGGTTGAGTCTATTATTTTTGGGTTTTGATTTGGGCTAGAGGGTAGAAGCCCATCGACTTTGTTGGTTATTCTTGGGGTTATAAATGACAGATTGGTCCATTCTTTTTGCTATGGGTCTCAGTTGGGTTGGGGGAGGTTTTCGGCCCAAACAAATAAATAAAATGGCCAAGTGCTGATCCATTAAGAAACCAAAGAACGAATTTGCAGAGTAGTCCCTATACTTCTCTTTAATTTCACTATGACCCTACAAACTTTCAATGCTTTCAATTGGGTCCCTAATTTAATTACAAATAGGTCCCTAAACTTTATTTTTCTTTAATTTTGACCCCAAAGCTTTGTTAATTTCTGCAATCAAGTCCTTTCTTCTTTTTGACTTCTTAAATGTGGATTGTCTACATGATTTAATTGATTCAATTTCATGTATATTTTTATCTTTTGTGATTATTTGTTAATTAAAGTGGTGCCTTGACCTCTTCTTTGTATTTTGGAGGGTAAATAAGTGATTTCACTTCATTAGGGCCCCAACTCAAGGGAGGTACACTCTATCCCTTATTTTGACTTTATTTGACTCTACGTGCCCTATGTGACTTTACATGTTTGATTGTATGCCTCATAAATGTTTTGTATTAATTTCGTTTATTTATTTATTTGCTTTATTGGCTTTGTATATTTATTACCTATCAATTTGATTATTTGAAAGGCAATTTAATGCCAAGGTTGTAATAGTTAGGTTATTATATCATTTTATTTAATTCATTCCCCTTAGATTGTAGTAGGATTCCCCCCAATGTAATAGTTAGGGCCTTATTTGCTTTATTTGCCTTATGTGTGATTTGCATATCTATGTGCTATGTGTTACCGCTTTCTTAGGGTCTTGCATCTAGATATCATGCTTATGTGTTATGTGCTATGTGTGATTTATGTGTTTACATGATTTTATTAGCTCTTACATGATTTAGTTGATTGTAACCGATGCGTGACGTCACCACACTAGTCCAATGCTAGTTGTGGTCAATTTCTTGAATCCATACTAGTCCAATGCTAGTTGTGGCCCTTTGTTCCGACTTTTCTCACTAGTCCAATGCTAGTGGAAAATTGTAGATAAGGGTTAGTCCAATGCTAGACCATTAAGAGCCCTTCGAGCGTTAGATCATGATTGTGTGATAAAATCACTTCATCTCATGCATATTTTCACTTTTTAGGGTCTTTTATCATATTTTGCATGACATCCCTCCTTTATGTATATCCCTTCCCCCATATTTTCCCTTATATGTATATTACTTACCCCTTTGTACGAAACATGACATTAGACTTGCATTTCATCTAAGCATTAGACCTAGATTAGTACATTTGCTTGGTTAAATTAGGGAAGTTACCCCTTGGATATGCGATATGGACGAGTTTGGCTTTTCTAATCTTAGCACACTCGTATTCCCTCTATTAAAGGGAACATTGAAAGTCACGAACATTAGTCCCCCGCATCCGATATGATGCATTCCTTTAGGTCATGTATATTTATACAATTATTTTTATTTTCCTTTTTTTTTCTTAGAGTCTCATTTGCATTATTTGTGACCTCTCCAAAGAGTCCACATTGGGCATCACAATTAATGTGATTGCCACCAATTGAGCTTTGAAGAGAAATTTCGACCCCGATACCCTCTTAGGTCTAGAGTTTACATTCATATAGTACATTCAAATGTGATAAATCTTTAGATTAAAATAAGAAAACCTTTGACTAAATCGCGCAACTAGTTTTGGCTAGGTTGAAAGGGTGCCTTGGATTCTTATCCTTGCCTTCTCTTTCTTCAAATGTGACTCCTGAATCTTTTTATCTGATTTTCGTGGATTTGGAGTGGTTTAAAAAGGGTTTTCTACTTTTTTCTTTAAAAATTCAATTTTTGGGTGACTTGGTACACCTTAACTCTATACCAAGTGGCGACTCCGTTTTTTATTCAAAAAAACCCCTTTTAAATTATATTTTTGGTCAAACCGTCGCATTTTCAAGTCCCATTTAGACCCATGTTTTTCATTTTCTTTTTAAATCAAAAATTCATTTTCTAATAAAAAATTGAATCAAAAGCCATTTTTCTAAACTCGACTTTTATTTTTCTTATTTAAAAAATGGGGCGCGACAAGTAAGCTTTTCCACTGTAACTTGGTTTTATTAATAAATAGGGGGAGGACTCCTCTCCCACCCCAGGATGGGGGTTTTTAAAAAAAAGTTAAAAGAAGAATTAAAAATGCTAAAATTAGAGAATTATCATATCAAATACCAATTGTTGGCTTTACAAATTGATAGAGCAACTATTGGGCACCTTTTGCGTTGTTATTTTGTCCTAATTTTGGCTACTTATTGTGCTAAGTATTGAGATTTTGGTCATATTTCATATTTGTATAAATTATAGGTGATTGGTATAAAAAGTGCTTTCGCGAGGCAAATTTCCAGAAGACTCTATTTTATGACGTGCCCATGCCAGAAACTCTAGAAGAATACCCAAAAGACGGACCCACGGGATTGGTAGCAGTAGGAGGCAATTAGGAAATGAGGTCCACGTGAACCACGAAGATGCATGGGATTAAAACCCATAGACAAAGTCTTGCACCTGGACGTTTCCTTGCTTCTGCTGGTGGCGGCTTCAAAAGGCTAAAAAGCCAGAATCACGTGCAATCAAGAGATTAGCTTTAGTTTTCTTTTTTTTTTCCATTTGTCAAACGTCTTTTTCTTTTGACTTTTAGCTCTAGCTCTGGACAATTTGGGAGTAGCTTTCGGTTGCCATCCTTGGAAGACGACTTGAAGTTTTCCGTTTTTGTTCCATTTGTTTCGCATGCTTTTTGTGAGACCTGGGCATATACCTTTTGCTTGGGTACAAACACGAAGTAAAGTGAAACGAGACTTTCTCCTCGGTTTCTTCGTTATTCCGTGTCCCCCAAATTCTTGGTAATTAATTGGATGATATCGATTAAACCATGCGAGATTGATATGATGAGGAGCGGCTAGACTTCTCCTCTACTCCAAGGTTGACGCGAAGGCGCGTTCCATAACATCTGTGAGATCTAATTGAATTTTCATTATTTCTTCCAATTCGTTACTATTCGTGCATTTTCTGAATTAATTGTTCATGGGTATTTTATTAATTGAGTATCAACGGCTGGATATTTCATTTAATTTAATAGCCTACTGTCACGTTAACTAAATTGA